CAGTACACATAGTTTTGATCATATGTGTCCGCAGCAATTTTTCTCACGAACAGGGAGATCCATCGATTTGTATGAAAACGTAAACATTTTTAAGAGCGAGGAAAAGCATATTTTCTCAGGATGCCAAATCCCCATATTTTACAAAGAAACTAAAAAAAGATTTTACTTGTACGAGTGTGTTTGACTAACTTGATCCGTTTGATTTAACATAAACCTTTATCTCTCTCAAGTCAGGAAAAATTGAGGCGCAGACTTGCAAAATGCATTTTGTCCAAATTTTCAATATTCGAGATAGAGGTGGCGCTGCATTCCCATGATGAAACACTAACTCTTTATGAATATTTGAACTGTCGAAATGCATTTAGTCCCCATGTTATTAGGGGCGAAATAATACCTAGACAAACAAACTGATTTAAGTCAACTCATTTTTTTATTAATGGACGGAACATCATGCTGGCGACAAAAATATCTTCAGCCCTGCTTGATTTTTTGTAAAAACCAATTTTGTCCCAAATATAGACACTCTTCGGCTCTTCTCTGATGGATGCGGGGGTCAAAATAAAAATAGCTTTACCAACCACATGCTAATGTTATGGTTATACAGCTTTGCTCCAGAAACGATTAAAAAAATAGAAGTTATCTTCCCAGTGCGAGAACACTCTTATCTTTCGGCAGATAGAATTTTTGGGAGAGTGGAAAATATTTTAAGATGGCACGCAGTCATAAAAATACCTGAAAAATATTGGGAACTTTACAAACAAGAAGGTGAAATCAGAAAACTTGGAACTGGTTGGTCATTGGTGAATATAAAACAAGCTTCAATCTGTTTGAAAAAAGTCCTAGGAATTAGGTCAATTAAAAAAATAATCATCAAACGGGGAACGCCCTCAGGCGTTGTGGTAAAATCTGAATTGCTGTATCGAATGGATGATCCAGTCAAAAATTTCAAACTTTCTTGAAACCTAAAAAGTCAAATCGAACTTCCCAAAGTATGACTTGGACATCAAATTAAGCAGAAAAAGCTTGATAGTCTAAGGGCCAATTTCACCAACAACAGTCCGTTATTCTCCACCTATAGGGTAACAGTCCGTCAAATACAGCGAATGAGCTTCAACTTCAATTAACAAATTTTAGCAACCAATAGCTATGAAATGTTGAAAACAAAATATTGTCAAAGTATGAGATGACATCTTGTCATTGAAACATCACCATCTTATTGAATATTAAGAAATTACATATAATTCAGTCAAAATTTAAACAAATGTTTGATTTTTTAATAAAATTCATGTTTTAATTACCATTGTTAATTTTTTATTCATGATAACATTATTTTCTTCAATTGATATGTGATTTTACTGATTCAAGATCATCTACTGGGTGTTTTTTCCAATGAACCTGTTACAGATAGCCATTAAGCACCTACTTGATGACTGGCTCTACCAACAAGTTCATAGATATTGCTCGTTTCCAAACATTCATTCATTTACTTGCCGTTCATCAGAACCAATATGGCACTTTAGATTGATATTCCCACAAAACCATTTTGGTTTTTTAATATCCATACATCCATAAAGTTGAATATTTTTCGTTGTTCAGAAACTTAACAAACATCCACACTATTTTAGCGATTAAGAAATACCCAAATATATGTCGTAGAGCTACCAGCAAACCTAAAACCTGCAGAAAAACTAGAAATGTGCAATATTTTTCTTTTTCCACTGAGTAGATATTCTAGGTTATATTTATATTAGACGTTATTTGAATACATCTGATTATTGCATTTCAAGGAGTGACACATGTGTGGGCTCTGTCAACTCTTGGTACCAGTCACAAAACATACTCTAAAGGTTTAATTCCGTGCTATTCAATCACAACACGGTGACTTGTGTGGTTTTCAGCGGCCATTTTGTGAGAGTGCGATAGGGTTGCCAGATTGTGCATTAATATCCCGTTTCACCCTCCTGGTCCCAGAGGAGTAACTTCCGCCAACTGTTGAAATATACTCTACTATGCTTTATAAGACTATTCGTGACATTTTTCCCAAAATCATTGCACAACACTCGAAAAAATGCAAATGAAAATTTAAAATTATTTCCGTGACGCCGCAAAATAGCTCCGTCGGTACCTTGGGTTATACATCTTGACAGTAGGGATGTTCGATAGGATCCTATATTTAGAAGTATCAATAAATTTCACGAGTATCGTCATGCTTCGATCCGGACTGTGTCAGAAAGAGTGACTGCTATTTGGCTGCGACATTACCCTGCCAAATCAGACATATCTTTCATCATTTTCAAAGAAATAGAACAAAATCTTCAAATTTGTGAAGTTAGCGAGGTTTACTTCATACGTTGTTACCAGACATGCCCAAATCATCAGTTGCTGCCGTGATATTCATCCCGACCACTGCATCCCCACGGCTAGGCGACCTGTATGTTAAATTTGTATTGATAGGGCAGCGGGTTATGCTATAAATCATATGTCACAGTAATCAATTTCAAGCGGATAACCAAATGAAAATGGTATTTACCATTTTGGGTTGGTATTCACCGATCCGTTCAAGCGAGTGTGGTTATCAGCTGGGTCATAGTTATCACCGCAAAATTGTCGTATTTACCCAACTCGGGAGTAGTTTTATATTTCTGGTTATTATTTGATATGTGACAAGTTAGAATTTTGCCGGGTATTGGATATTGTTATTGCACTTCAGCTTAATTTTTGAGAAACTTGATACAGGCTGACTTCAGTTTTACCATAAAGTGGAGCACCTTATTAGTTATACTCATTGCTGTTGTTAGGGACACTTTAAATGTAGTTCCTAAGCGTAACAAAGTATCCTGTGTAGCCATATACCACAAGAATATTAAAAAATGGCCATATAAACTCACTAGATGATGTCCACCTGTATAAGGTTTTGCTAATTTCATTTTTCATCATTTCTGCTGAATCAATAAATGTTTTCTTTGACATGCGGAAAAATTTAGAGAATTGAAAGTTATCATAGCTACAAAGCCATGGTTCCATCATTAAAAAAAAATTCCTGAAAAAAAACATTTCTCCCATGAATATATGAAAGGTTTCTTATTTAAACTTTCCATACACAGTTGTAGACGAAATAGCACCGATTATTAAGTGATAATAAAAATAATCAGAGATCATATACGCACTTTTCTAAAATAAACAACTTGCAACAAAACCGCGGTTAAAACCAACGCGTTCAAGCGATTCCTGTAACTGATGTCATCAACCCGTGTGCCATCTTGAAGCATATTATAACCGCGGCACATGACAGAGAAATTTTGGTTATTCGCTTGGATTTGATTAGTGTTTGTGCACTGATTGCAACAGTTAGATGATACCAAAAATATTTTCATAAATAAGAGATCTTTCCCATTCCGGATCGAACAATCTACCAAAGATGCTTATAATCATGATACCACGAAAAAATTCAAAACCAGCAAATGTAAAAGATTCATTTCGCACCCTCCACCACGGGACGTGATCGTCGTTAGACTTGGCAACCCTGCGAGTGTCAGATAGATATCCCCACCAGTCAAAAAAAACTAGACAAACAGTAAGCATTACTAGTTTTTTTGATTTTTGAACTTAACAGCTACTATCTGTGAAACATTTTTCATAATTTTTTGTCTATGTCCATAATAATTGCATTATGCATCAGGGAGATGTAGGGATTGACACATCTTACACATGTTATCTCGTGTTTTAGGATGGAGAGGACATAATGTTTTTATTGCTTTGAAGAAATTGATTGTCCCATAAATTAATAAATGATTACTATTATGACATAAAGGAAGATGAGGAATTGGAATGTATTTTATATTCTATTTTCTTGCAAAATACAGACAAATCCACACTATTCAACAGGTATGTAATGATAACTTTCAGTATATTGAAGTTGGTAAATTCAAGAGTGCCATGCATTAACAAACGTCCAAATCTGCTGCAAAATTTAACAGCTAGAAAATCGACCTATTATTTGCCGCATTCCCATTCGCTGAGGGGGATAACGGATTGTTAAATGTAAACCTATAACATATATCAAAATACATAAAAGTTGTCCTGTTTTTTCTGTACAAAAGCATCATGTTGGAATCAAAAAGTGATCTTGTTTATAATACAGTCGAATTTTCATGATTTTATTCAATATTTCAATAGAAATCACTAATATTCAGAGACCTTTGACAGCTTTCGTCAAATTGCATTTCGATAAGGTATTTTCACATTGGTCCATAATATTAATGTTGGTGAAATTGGCCCTAAAACACCTACTTCTAACATTGTCTGGTGAGGAATGGTATGAAACAGACGCGGAGCTGAAATGGTTGAAATATTTGAGAAAACTGTGACGATGAAGATGAAGAGCATAAAAATGACGAAGAAGTTTGTGGATGCGCTGAGAATGACGATAATGAATTTATTTAAAAATAAAATCGTTTACTACTAATATTATTATAATACTTACAAATTTTGTTTTGCGTCATGAGGATTTTGTCCACTAGAAACAATCAAACCGCATTTTATCCAATAATTTTTTTAATTATTTCAAGTCGTTTTTCTACTTTCTTATACCAAAACTTGTAATGGAAGTCCATACGCTTAATAACATTATATTATCCCAAAAGTCTTTTTTTCTCTTATGGTGAGTTTTTCTGTACTAGTTTTTTGCTCCTCCTGAAAATTGGTAAAAATGGACAAAACGCGATTTGCAAGTCTGCTCCTCAATTGAAAACGATTTTGAAAAAATTCAGTCTTGCCGGTCTCTCAACGGAAATACTCGGAATTGCGAAAGTGCTATTTTCCTAGTTACCTAAATGCGCAACTTTGCCTCTATTCAATCGAGTTGCCATCTCTTACCGTTTCTGAGATCCCAACGGTAAGACCCTAATTTGACACACCCTATATGTCTGTTGTACACCTTCTTCTAGATGCCAGCGTTGCCACCTCTCCGACCACAGGTTATGCGATTTCCTTTTCCATCGTTAAAACATTCTGAGAGTACTAAACCTCGGAACAATTACGGGGAAGGTTGAGCGGTGGACGTTTTCTTGAAAGGTTGATGTCACGTTCAGGAACAAACATGTTGTGATTGATGATATCAATCCTATCCTATCGATAGAGCACATATAGTTGCACAACAAATCTGTACAAAATATTCAAATATTAACTACATTTAAAGAGATACAGCAAAACTCTGAGCAGGGCATCAGTAGAGAATATTCATACTTCATACGTATATACGTAAAATGCTTATTTAGTGAAAACGTGCTCTGGCGTACACATCCAGAGATTTAATTTTGAACGAGCTAGTAGCAGCTACCCTGCCAGTTTCATGAAAATTATACGGATATATAACATGGAATGCTACTTCATGATGATGGAATTATTTAAGATGCTGCCATTGCATTGGACTGTACGACAAGCCTAGGGCCGGACTCAGCAGTAAGCACCGATGCACGAGACCGTTTTGTCATCTTTATTCGTTTACGAGTGTAATGTCTCAAGCAATATTTTTACAATAACTAATGCAGCATTGAAACGGGCAACATTTCTGCTCCGGTCATATATCTCAGACATATCAATTATCCCTCGACTATATCTTGGCAATATTGTTTGCAATATGTAGACACATACCAGTATCCGTATTTTGTTACTCAAAAAGTAACATTATATCGATTTTATGGCACTATGTAGATTATCCGATAACGTCATTTTTTTGACTAGTTGACACTCACTTCAGGCTTAGTAGGCGGGGAATGAACTAGCGGCACACTAGCGGCTACCTACCTTTTCGATGAAATTTTTACACAATGTTACAACTATGCCAAAGACGCAAAAGCTTTGTAGTTTTTTACAATCGGCCTAGTAACACTATGTAAGAAAAAGTAGTACTTTAAAAGTAGTTTTTGTAGAAAGTTGAGAATCACATGTTATTAGGGTTACTAGAGTATTCTAGTTTCCTAACTGGAACGACTTGGCTCAAAAAATCATCCATAGCTATAGTACAGCCAGAAAACATCATCGCATACACATCAGAAAAAGAGGTTTCGAGACTTATTTATAGTAAATGATCTCTTGTTAGTATAGGAGACAAAAAAAGTCATAATTGCACGTCAATGAATTTGATTCAAATATCGGTTATTTATTTTTTATTTACAGTCTATATAGCTACAGAAAGCCACCGACAACCTTATTTTACACTTACGGGCAATAAAATTACGTGTCAAAATTCTGTAAAAATGGGAAGAACACACGTGAAATTCAAAATATCGAAAAGCAACGCTATCGGCGTGACGTCACGATATCCGAGAGTGAGTAGGCAATACTTTATCGCTGTCATTGATTGTCAACCTATCTGCTTGACCACTTCCAAAAAGTACTGGTTGATGCAGAATTCACGAAAATATCGCCATCAAGACAGGAAATTAACTGAACATAGAACAAAACGTCAAACCATGAGTAGTGACATCACTGCGAAGCGAGCGAAAAATACCGCATTCAAACCTTGGCATTGCACTTTAAAATATTTCATTGAAAAAATACAGACATTTATATGAATGGAATATGTTTACAGTATTATATTAACGTATATACTCGATAGAAAATAAAAATATGCAAATTTCCTATTATTCCGGGTGGTGTGAATGTTGGTTTTTCTTTCTATCTTGCTGAGTTTCAGTTTGTTACTAATTTTTCTGTGCTTAGCATATGAAAAAATACAGACATTTATATGAATGGAATATGTTTACAGTATTATATTAACGTATATACTCGATAGAAAATAAAAATATGCAAATTTCCTATTATTCCGGGTGGTGTGAATATTGGTTTGTCTTTCTATCTTGCTGAGTTTCAGTTTGTTACTAATTTTTCTGTGCTTAGCATAATTGACCAAAGCTTTCCTTATCATGCCACTGGTGAGGGAGTATTGTTATCGCGAAAAGTTTGTGGTTTTTGGATGTTATATGACATGTACATCACGAAGAACCATGTCACCCATCGGTAACCTGTAAAGTAGCGCCCGGTAAGCATAACATTTTTCCATAAGGTTTTGGCTGTGCCATGGAGAAAAATGCTTAGTGCTACTTGAAAGTCGGTTCAGTACCGGTAAAGTTAGAGACAAAAAAGGTAAAATAACAATAATAATAATAATAATAATAATAATAATAAATGGTCTTTATTCATCATTATAAATCATTATAAATAACTTGAGGAAAAAAATAATAATAAAATGATGAAAGGCGTAGTTCAGCCTAAGCTGATTTGCAACTAAACCCACAAAAAATAACACTCTTATAAAATAAATATATATATATATATAACATAATATGCAATACAAAACAGAACATACGAGAACGTGGCCAATGCAGTTTTTGAGAGCTCAATTCATGCAAAAAAGAACAAGACCACTTAAAAAGAAACATACTGGCACATTATCATTTAAAACGTAGCGAGGTTTGATTAATCGCCGATACTTCGTTTTTACTTCTCACCCTACTGTCAGAAAGTATTGTAATCGCGAATAATTTCGAAAACGGATATTACGTTTTTCGGATGTTAAATAACATGTAGATAGATCACGAGAAACCAGGTCACTCATTTCCGTCGATCAGCCGGTCGGTCCGTCGGTCTTTCGGTTGGTAGGTTCGTCGGCCTGTCGGTCTGTCTGTCCGCTAATCCTTGACACCACGATAACTTGGAAACTACTGCTCGGTTTGGATGCAATCTATGTACATAGTTATTACTATCTATGCCAAGGACAAAAAATGTTTGAAAATTTCCTGAAAATCGATCCAGCGGTGGCGCAGAAAAATGCCGAAAACGAAAAAAATAAAGTTTGCTCAAACTTCGTTTGTTGACGTTTAGGAGCATCCTGATCATTTTTGAAAAAGTTTATGAAGCAAACATTAGGGACTGGGAGTTTGTAGGTGGGTGGGGAGTTGAATCGCAATTTTTCGATTTTAGTACCTATATTAATACACTTCTAGCGCAGGTAACTTTACGCACCTATTAGCCATACTCATCACTGATTTCCCAGTACAGGGATACTGTTTTCGGCTGACGGATCGCGTACCTATCGGTCGCACGTACCATGCACCCTAGTGTTGCAAATATTGCATCTTCGGTAGGGGATCCGTGAGATAATATTATATAATACAGAATATAAGTACGTACCTATCAAAAGCTATTGCTCGTCTCTGGACGTACCTGCTTCGCGGTCTGATCGGTGGGTACTACCGGGTTGCGATGTTGGTCATAGCAACGTTGCCAAACGGTCAGTACTATTCGCAATGCTGTGGTGTAGTTTCTAAAGCGTAATATTGTCAAATGGGTGGCGACTATGAACTAACTGTATGGGCTTGTTTAACTAACTTCATCCCTTTAACTTTTTTGTTGCGTTCGTAGCTTATTACTCAGATGGGCTGACTGGTGGCGAACGTAATCCTTTAAGAACTAATGACATATCATTTTTTTAAAATGCTGTACCTACCAGACCTTTACTGAACTGACTTGGAAAACAAGTGTTAATAGGAAGGCCTCCTCTTACATAGAGTGGCATAACGGAAGAAAATTAGTGCTGTAAACGAGGTTTAAAGAGATCGTAGGACACGAATATAGAACCCTGGGACACACGAGCTAAAACGAACATAAATCCAAAAGATGTGGCGGCGACGTTGCAACCAGATATTCGCAACGCTCCTGAGACCTCTTCCTGCCTTGTACAGGTCCGTCTCCAGCACTAACTTATCCAGGAAAAAGTTCTGGACGAGTGTGCAGGATTTATGTCCAAGAAGACGTTTGTCTCGGGAGGGAGGTATAATCGGTGGCGACTGGAAATTGAGGAATGTATCAGACCTTTGAAGAGCACATGTCATTGCAAGAATTGAAGACCGGGTGATGCCAAAACATATTAGCTGTCAATCACAAAAGGTATTGCATCCATCCAGCGATGGATGGCCAAGCTGATCTTCCTCATCGCTTAAGATGAAAACAATAGAGAGACCCTTATGTTATCTAACCCATAACCGCTCGACATTTCGCGCTAACTACAGAGATGTGTTACCGCACCATCACGGTGAACTGCCAAGTGGTCGGAGTGCTAAGTGTTCACAGATCAAACTAGCAATGCCTTTTCTATGCAGGCATGAGACCTTGGTGGTGCGGTGCGACATCTCTGTGTCTCCATCATTCGCAATAAGGATGAAAATCAGCTTGACGAGCCAGTGGTAGGTGGCGATCGTCAGATTTTCACTTACTTGCGCACAATGTTTTGAGTTTGTCAAGAGATCACCCATTTATTCGCTTCCCCTATCGTCGGTGTCCAAGACTATACCTTAGACCTATACCGCACTGATGCGCTGATAATGAGCACGAAACAGCACTGTCCGCGGTTGGTCATGGTTAAGTTTCAGCCGCCTGATTACTTTCTCTTCTATATTCAAGTGCTCTTCACTTGCAATGAGATTCAATTACTTACATTATTTTAGAATCGAGATTTTGTTTTGAAAAATCCAAAAGTAGAGTAGGGATCTCGGAAACTGTAAGAGATACGAAATCGTTTATATCGGTGAATGAGTTTCGTATTTAGGTAATCAGCAAAATGTCGTTTAGAAAGTTTCGAAATTCAAAGTACTTCCGTGGAGAGCCTGAAAAAACCGAATTTTCCCAAAATCGTTTTCAATTTTTCCTGGCTTTACTTGTAGTGGGATTTTGAATTGAATTTCACATGAACATCGCCACTTTTTCTCCTCTACTCTATGGCATAATTAGACTGTCAATAAGATTTTTCATCTCTTGCCGTCTAGCATCATTTTTATTTTTCCTTTTAGATGCTATATTGGATTTTTGCACAGATTAATAGAGTTTTTAATTCTGATTTCAAAAATGTGTAATGCATCAAACATTGATGCTTTCAAACCTTAGTTATTTAAAAAAAACAGTATTTCATAGGCAGGCATTGCATTTACCAGACAGTCATTTGTTTTGTCGACCAGATTTGACCCAAAATCGCATATAATTTTTCCTGACTTTATTTGCAATAGAATCCCAAAATGAATTGCATGTTAACATTGCCACTATCTCTACTCCACAGGATAGCCTAATTACAATTTCAATATCTTGTTTCGTCTCGTGCCTTCCAGCATAAACTTTATTTTTTCTTATGCACGCCATTTTGCGCAGATGAATTCTGATTTCAAAAGTGTCGAATATGTCATACATTGACATTGCCAAACCTTAATTATTCGAGAAAAACAGACGTTCCTAGGTAGTCCTTGTAATTATCAGATTTCATTTGTTTCTTATACCAGACCAGACCTCAAATTATACATAGCAACAGCGTTTGGAAGACCGACAAGAAGAAAAATATATCAAGCAGTAAACAATGTATAGAGAAGAGCCAGGCTTTGTCTAAAAACTAACGGACAACATTTTGAACATCTGCTACGATTTACCTCTGCTTATTTATTATTTCTGTTATTGTGTTCAGGTTTCACCATACCTTTTTGTTTCCTTATGATTCTGATCGAACAACAAATTCATGGCCAATTAAGGAAATACATCACTGAATTTAAGACTGAAAGGTCCAGTTAAATGTATAGAATTCCTATATAGCGTCGATATGAAAAGACAAAGTTTGTGATGGAAGTCGAATGAAGAAATATCAAATTGAAAATTTGACTACTCCATCTTGTAGATGAGAATAAGTAACAACGGCAACATGTAATTTATTTGGAAATACCTTCTCACAGGTCAGGAGAAAATAAATTTGACTTTGGGATAAATCTGGTATACGAAACAAATGACTATCTGATAATTTCGATGCCTACCTACGAAATTCTTTTTTTTAAATAACTATGGTTTGGCAAAGTCAATGACGTATTATACATTTTTAGAATAAGAATTAAAAATCCAATATACGGAACATCATATTAAATGTTATAATTATTCGCTTTTAGAGGAGAAAAAGTGGTTATGTTAATGAGCAATTTATTTTTAAATCACACTACAAATAAAGTCGGAAAAGAAATAAAACGGTTTTGGGAAAATTCGGTTTTTTCGTCTTTCTCCGAAAATACTTTGAATTTCGATCACAATGATGAGGGCCGAATTTGAAACCCCATGTATATGACTATAAAAACCATTAGTAGGTATTTACAAATGCTACAAACGACAGCGTTGAACGATAATTTTACATACTGTTTGGTGTCTCTTAGACAGTCATATACACAGATATATAGACCAGAGTCCTATGAAAAAGGTCACGTATTGAAATTACGATGAAACAGTCATTTGCACCTCTGTTCCGCTATAGTGGGGGTTGATTTAAAGCGGAAAGGCGCAATCCATTCAGTAATTTCTACCGTATACTCCAAAGTAAATGTCTCACTTAGTACAATCCTGTTAGACAGCAGGAGCTGATGTTGCCGAGTGGTTCATGAATATCGCGTAAATTGCAGGAGGAGGAGACTTGCAGGGCAAACGTTATAGTATAGTCTATAAGGCGCTAAGAGGAGTGTGCAAAATATTCGTTTCGTTAACCGATATTAACTGAGGATTTATGAGGCACAGGGAATAATGCGGCACAACATCTCTTCGATTAGCGTAGAACGTCGAGAGATATTAGTCAGAGAGCGTAAGGGTCTTCATCATCAAATTTTTCACCCACTTGCGCACAATGTCTTGAGTTTTTCAAGACCATACCTACTTGTTTGCTTTCCGTTTCGTCTACCTCCAAGACTCGATCAAGACCTATACCGCACTAATGGGTTCCTAATGAGCACGAAACAGTGCTGTCTGCAGTTAGTCGTTGTTACAGGAGAGGGAAAGCAAACTCGTCCATTTCAGACTAAATAATCCAGATATAGCCAATTAAATTTTTTATAAGATTTTTTCTGCCACCCCTTCTGAACCATACCTACCAAATATCCCTACTATAATATCATAAATGAGAAAGTGTAGATGTTTGTTACTCAATCACCCCAAAATAGCTGGACGGGTCTGAATGAGATAGATTATAGTCCGGAATAGCCCATATGTTACTTTTTATCCCGGGAAGAGGCTTAGTGGAGATTAAGATAAATAGGGCATCTGCATCATGAATTTATTGCATTTCGACATGATGAGCACAGGGATAGAGTAGACCTTGGAGACGGATATAGGCCCTTTTTTTGTTGCGAAAGTTAAACTTAAAGGATAAGAAATAGGGGGTAAAAGGTATGGACACAAGCGTGAGTTTTATACCTTTGGTGCTTTGATGTAACGTGAATGGAGACTTTCAAATGAAACTTGAAAATTCCACCCCTAGGCGGGTAATGTGAAGATCAACAATTTTCAAGCTTCTGCTGGGAATTAAACCAGTGTATGAATTGGAGTATAGTCTATCTGTAATTTTGTCTTAAAAATAGTGAACAAGAACAAGAAGTTTCAGAAAGTATATGTTTATCAGAGGTTGACTGTTTCTACGGGAAACCAGATCACTTTAAGAAAGAGGATGAGCTTGTTTAAAATTCTTTGGATTTATCTGCTAAATTCTAAAAAACTGACAATAATCAGGTTCAGTACAGACTGGACCTAAAATAAGAATAGACTTTGTAGGAAAGTAGCTTTTATAACGCAAAATCTTATTCGATTTAAAATGTTGGCAAATACTTAATCTACTGGCTTTTTGTCCCGCGGTTTTACTTGAGGAACGTATAGGTGGCGCCACTGATCAAATAAAATTTCCCAAGCATCCAAGGTGACTGTTAATTTACAAAACGTTAGTACGAATTTCAAGCATACGGGGTCGCGAGTAACAGCTAGTAGAAGTATAATATTGAAAATAACCAACATTTGGTACCCAGTAGATTTCAAAAAAGGAAATCTGTGTGAGCAACCCTTCATAGATGTTGATCTTCAAAGAGTGCCTATTGGCTATTAACCGTTAGTCTACGTAACCCATACAGGTGTCTACCTATATTTTGACTCCTTTCAAGTGCGTCATTCCTACTTGATAAATCTGGTGCAAGTCTACAACTCTTAAGACTATCTTGATCTATTGCATCAAACACGGGAGGCTGTGAAGCTGAGCTTTATATAAATAAATGGACACAGTTTCTCTGGCTATAAGGGAGCAGATCTCATTGGGTTTATAGTTATAGCTCGTGTTCCCAGCACCCCATCTTCATGTCCTACTGCCTCTTTAAAAGCAGTTACAGCTTTAATTTTCCTTAATTATGGGTCTCTATGTAAGAGGAAATACGTTTTTCGGGTTCGGCTCATTTTCTAAGTGACAAAATATCTGTGAAATTTTTAATATATGCTCGACTGCTACAAAGTAAAAATTATGCTTTAGTAAGTCATATAATTCAACCATTTGCATTATACAGGGTGTAAACGTTATGATAGTCATTATTTAAATGGGTGATAGAGGGGGTTCAAAGAAGCAAAGAGTTTCATATAACATGGGGGTCAAAACGGCATTTTTTTAGAGAAAAGCGACTTTAAAGTAAAATAAAATCTGACAACGCCGCAATGCCTGAGACAAATTACGACGGAATGCAGTGTAAATAAAGATTGAGTTTGTTATTTGTGGCTCTTAGATATTATTTCATTATTTGATAATGTACTCGTAAAATGCAAACAATTAAAGAAAACGGACTTACCACTAACTGTCTCAGCGCTTCACCTGGTGTGTGAAAGTTTATTGAACGTAATAAAAAAATCCACCTATGCCCGATAACTAACCAATGTTACCATTTGCGATCGATTGCCGGTTCCATAATGCCGGCAGTACACGCTCGCCGAGGCTATCCGAGATGAGACGAGCGCGAGAGTGTACTTACTATTCCCGCCTCGCCCTAGACCCTCTCGCCTCGCCCTCGGAGCGCTCGGTGTAGAAGCGGTCTCCCAGTGCGAGTCAAAGGAACCGAGAGCGTAAGTGGGAGGTCTCGCGAGCGTGGACATGGTATATTCGGGCGACCTCGGCACACGCTGGTCTCTTGTTGAACAGTGGAATTTGTGGCGTGATTAGTTTTCGTTTGCGGCTATATTGGTTGACATTGTTTATTTTTAAAATGGAGTGGACAAATGATTTTACTATCAAGTTTTTGGAATTTTATCAGAGCGAACCTTGTTTGTGGGATCCCTCTGACGAAAATCATAAAAGAAAGGAGAAATTAGCTGATGCCTGGAATCGAATCTCTGAATCTACAGGCAAATCTGTGGCAGAATTAAAGAAGAAAAAAGATTCTTTAATATCCACTTTCCGGGGTCACTTAAGAAGGAAAAAGGCGTCCATTAGGAGCGGTGCTGGGGGCGATGATATTTACAAGCCTATATGGTTTGCATACAGCTTTATGGAAACTTTTCTTGGTCAAATATATGACTGCCACCCTACCATAAACAGTCAAGACACGGTAAGTACATTCAACAAAATAACTATTACTTATTACTTGTCATACAATATTTTATTTGTTTCTTAAATTCACAAAATATTCAGTGAAATTATCTCTAATCTTAGTCGCACTAATCGGTGATCGACGAGCAATATGTGGTACACATCGAATAGCACAGTTTTGAGGTACTTCTTGCCTCCAAGCCCCTTCAATAAAAACACCGTTATCATATTTATCAAAAGTGCCCGACGGGTTATAAATGTTTTTTGAACTAGAACTTTTCATAAGAAAATTGTGTAGAAGTACACATGTCATTGTTAACTGCGTCACTTTTTCGGGCATCAATTCGATTGGCTTTTTGAAAAATCGGAATCTGGAAGTTAATATTCCAAAAGTATTTTCAGACAATACACGAGACCTTGACAATGTTTCATTGAAAATACGTTTGGGAGTATTCAATTTATGATCGCCAGGATATGGCTTCATTAAGTTCTCGCTTAATGCAAAAGCACCATCTCCCAAGAAAACATATGGTAAATCGACGTTTAATCCGGGTAAGGGGCAAGGTGGAGGAAAATTCATCTTATTTTCACAAATATTTTTCCATAACACACTATTTCTAAGTATGCCGCCATCACTGATTCTTCCTTGGCTTCCAATGTCACAAAATATAAATCGATATTTACTGTCTACTACAGCTAGAAGAACAATACTAAAGGTTCTTTTGTAATTGTAATATTCTGATCCAGTGTGATTAGGACATTTGATTACAACATGTTTTCCGTCGATTGCTCCAATGGCGTGGGGAAAATTATCTCTAAATCCTTTTTCAATTTCTATCCACTCATCTGTAGTTGACGGCATCTGCAAAAAGATAAGAAATTACATTTATTGTTAATATTGTTAATATGTAATAAAATGTATTTATTTTTCAGATTTCTCTTGATAACGAAACCCTCGAGCCCACATCTCAAGAATCAGAATCAGAAATCAATGAAGTAGTGAATGTTGTACCCTCAGCTAAGTCTCAGCAAGCAGCACTTGTAGCCAAACCTCACCGACCAACACCCTTACCAATCTCTCAGCAAAGATATGAAAGGAAGCCTTCTCATGGGTGAAGAATGTTGTGTCCAGAAATGATGAAAAAGAAGACGAGTGCGATTTATACGGTAGAATGTTGGCGAAAAAACTACGAAAAATTCCGGAATTTCAAAGAGAATACTTGATGCATGATATTAACGAAATGGTCCTCAGGGCAATGCATCCATCTCATGGTTCTGTCGCCACGCCATCCTGTTCCAACGGACCACCTTCGAACTCATCGCTAATTTCCTTATCGTATTCTCGACCTACATCTGCAAACAGCAATAACTGTTCCTATGCTTCATCACAGGGTATCAACGAGCATGCCCAGGACCAAATGGAAGAACACATACAGGAATCTGATCCTATCAGCCAAGCACTGTATATGACCTTTGGAGGAAAAACAGACACCAACTCGAAAACTACTCATTTCAACATGTAGATGTAAACATTTTATAATAAAACTGTAGCTCTATAAATGCAAATGAATCTATTTACCTTAATTTCATCTTTCAAAGCCTCATTCAGTGCTGCACAGACCTCCGGAACAATCCGCGATATTATTTCACTTGAAACTTTAAATAAATAATGTAGGCTCTTGAAACTGTCGCCTGTGGCTAAATATCTCAAAGTAATTGCTAGCCGTATTTTTGGAGTTATTGCCTGTCTCATTGAAGTATCTTTTTTGGAAATCATTGGTGAGACTATATTTAAAAGATACTCAAAATCAGCTAGAGACATTCGAGTAAAATTTTTAAATTCACCACCAGGTTCCATTAACAATTCGCTCAACTGTCTGTCCATGTGTTCCCTATACGAAAATAAAAAATCAAATCAAACACAAAACACTTTATAAAATCTAATCAAATTACGTAATAATGTCAGTATATACCTACCTCGTTCTATTTCGATTGATTGATTTCACCCACCATCTTCTTTTCTTCCAAGGCTTCTTGATTTTTGAAGTTGATATAATATGCAAATATTTATAGTAACAATAAGCAGTATAGGCTACAGCTACACAAATTTCCACGTTCTTGGCCATCACTCGCACGAATCTACACAAGGAGCCGGTTCGATGTTTACTGCGAGAGTATACACGGTGTCCTCGGGCCTCGTGCCTCGGGGCGCCTCGCATCGGGGAGTCTCGCATTCGGATGGCTTCGACGAGCATGTACTGCCAGCATAAGAGTGATGGAAGGACGAGGCGCTGTTATCATGTGTGTTTTAAATACTTAATTTAATGAAACTTACTAACTTTCTGACTAGAAATTTTGGCTTAACTTAGAAAAACTCACTGCCATTTATTTGTTATATACCTGATTTAAAAACGTTTTAGATTAGATTATAAAAATTAGCAAGATTTTGGTCGATATAAAGTACTTGAAGTTGTAAACTATAAAGCCATTTAGACAAAAATCCATTGACTTTTGGACCATGGGTCATATAAACTCTTTGACTTGTTATGACCCATCCTATTACCCATTTCAATAATGACTACCATAACGTTTACACCCTGTATAGCTGGTTGCAAAGCAACCTATCAGACACTAACTTTTCTAATATAAATTTCTAATTATTGCGGACAGAATAAAATATGAAAATCCTCATTGATGACGCCACGGTATCTCACTTCACATCGAACAATTTCTTGGATGCTGGAATACAGTATTAGTTTAGCTGGCGTCACTCAAACAGAAATCAAACAGATATTATTCGACCAGCTATTTAAATATATAGATCTCTTTCACTTCCACAGGTAAAGCCTCTATGTCACAATCAAATATTTCAGAGAAAATGAATTGCAGGTACTGCGCATGTGACATCTAGTAGTAGAAAACTCCAATTTTGACCGTTCGGACTACTTGCAAGCAGAAATATTGGATAATATTAATAAACCTTGTAGTAATTAACCTTCTAGAAAGCATTAAGTTTCGGATCAAAATTAACAAAGTTTTGTCAACAACCGGCGTTCTTCAGGGTTCGATCTTAGGACCAATTATTTATTCATTTTGTTATACATGACGCCCCATGAAGTCTATCTCTATGCTGACGACACTGAACTAGTAGCCCAGTTGTGTTTTGGTAACCTGGTTCACGACATGCTGCAGAGTGCGGTGGAGGAAGTATTGGAGTCGGCGGATCGGTGGTGATCAAAATTAATAATTCGAAAAAGCTTGTACTAAAAAACGTCGCGGTGCTTCATTAGAGATATCAGTCAATGGAACTCGTATATCATGGGAACAATCTGTCAGGTACCTTGGAGTCATCATTGATAAGTGGTTCATCTGGCAGAAACATACTGATATTTTGAAAAATAAATCCAAATTACGTTTCGGCAGCTTTACCCTTTGTTGTGCAGAAGTTAACTTTGATCATCATGATTCGGTTGTATAAGACCCGCTCATCTACGCATGCGCGGCTTGCTGCTTTCTTGCCAAGATGCTTATGCAGAGACTGCAAGTCCTTCAAAACAGAACCCTACACACAATCACCAACGCCCCGTGGTACGTTCACAGAGAATTTCAAATTCCATATCTAAGAGATTACGTAAAACAACAGGCACAGCGACGTTATAATCAAGCCGAATCGCACAGTAACCCTCTGTTGCGCAATTCAGTAGACTACACAGTCGAGCAAGCTCGCAAATATTCCGGGCCGTTCTGTGCATTCTGATCAAAATTAAATTGGACATTTTAGACCAACCAAAATTGTTTCAGTATACAAAACCGATCAAAATAGTTTTTTGGAGTTACAAAATTATTCGAATAGGCTACCTGTACCAAATAAGGCCACATTAACGTTTGGATAGCTGTAACTGCGTAAATATTTGCGAAACGACCTTGAAATTTTAAAGATATTATTGTAGATATGTTTATTACACAAGCTACATCAGAGAACTCAGAGACCTTTTCTTTTCATATATAAAAAAAATATATTTTTCGAAACACTACCGTTGGCCTTATTAGGAACCCATGTATCCAAATAAGGCCACCATCTGGTTTTCAATAAAACCACAATCAAAATGTAAATCAAGACTGTATAATAAACGAAGCTATATTTCTATCTATCTATCTATCTATCTAATTGAACAAAATTAAAAAAAAACACTTAAATCTAGACAGATTTAAATAAAAAAAGTCAACTTGTTTAAAGAAAATCATACAGAATCTTAGATTTTTAGAAGACATGGCCCTTGGATACACTTTCCTCAAAATTTCTCTAAATCTTGCACGATTCAACTTCCTGCCAGGATACCGCCTGTAATGGTTAAGTATTTCATTTTCCCAATGATATTCGAAACTGCGGAAAACACATTTATCCAGCGGTTAAGGTTAAGTTAAAGTGATGTGATGTTTTTCGGCGGCGTCAACAATAGTTGCATCCAAATGAGAAGAGGCACCATCAAAAATAAGAAGAATATCTCCTGGTGGCTTATAGTTTGCTAGATGGTCTAGCCATTTAACAAACACTGCTGCCGTCATACTTCCTTTTTGGGTCATTTCAATTACTGTTCCGGTTGGCATATTGTCATCCCATTCATCCTTTTTACGTTTTCCCTTGAACAAGACCATTGGTGGTATTGCCTGTCCAATAGCATTTCCACATGCAACTATTGTGGAATTTTCTGCATGCTCATTAGCTACATAGTGAACACGTCTTTCACCTTTCCTCGCCAACACATTTGGTTGGCGGTAGATGGTGAGTCTGCACCCCTTCTCATCTACATTGTAGATACGATGGGGCTGATTGATTAGATTTAGTCTAATCAGCAAACTTTCTAGTTTTTTGAAGTAGTCATTTACAATGTACTTATTTACTTTCTGTGCCCTAGCTGGATTTAAAACCTGTGCTTTCCTTTGGCGAATATTTTCATGTCTGTCCAAAAACAACTTCAACCATTTTCTACCTGCCATTCCACTATTTTCATTAAATGTGTGACGAATTTTTTTGTCATTAACATAGGAAAAGACGGATTTTCGCAAAATCTTTGGTGTAAGGGGCATTCCTGTATCCGATAATCGGATTATCCTCGAGCATAGTTCATTTTCCTGCTCTCTAGACAAAATTGTACGAGTACCAAGTTTTCTTTCTCGCACACCTGTACGCACATGATTGCGAAGTGTTCTTCGTGGAATTTGGTATTCTTTGGATGCACGATTTACCGACGTTCCACTGTTTTTACTATCCAGTGCTTGTACAAGCGCTTCGGTTGACCACAGCGCCCTTTTCTTAGAGGGCATATTTCGACTATAGTCTCTGAAAAAAACATCTTAATTTAAGACATCTGCCGTAATGTCCAGCGTGTTCCCAATAAGGCCAAGAGGCAGTAATGGGAACCGTTTATCATGGCCTTATTAGGCACATATAACCTTAAACATACAATTTATAAAATACAAAATATTTAAAACCTGGCTACGACAAATAACTAGCTGTATATCGTCGCCTTTCTCACGAAGTGTTCTAACCGACAAAGTACCAAAAATTGAGATAACCCGCATATAGGTGTATTATTCCATGCGAAGAAGCATAACTATATATCTATTAGTGTGGGTAACACACCGTTAGCCTCTGGGTGTATTATCTGCAAAGGTAAATTTATGATTCCCACGAAGAGACCTAAATGAAGATAAGTCCCTGAGTGTCCAATAATCCTTGTTAGTATACGCTCCTCGGTGGTGGAATCATGGCCAAAGTGAGGGAGAATCTGCTCACAGTGCATTCATACTGCGATAAGAGAGATCTTTTTGAACCCTCATAACTCTATCCGGTTTTTTAATTCGCCAGAAAACGTCAACACTATTTAGTAATTGCCAATGAATTTTTTGACTTCAAGAAACTTTCAAAACATTTAAGAATATTGTCCACACGGCAAGCTGAGGAGGGGCAAAATATTAAACGGAGTTTATTGTAATAAAAGACACGCCCACCAAAATATTTCTAGCGACCACGATACTATTTATGACAGTATTGAGTTAAAAAGGCTGATGAGAAATAGTAATAATATAAATGATATTAAACTAGAACAACTTAAAAATAACAAAAAAAAGTACTCCGACTTAATTTCGTTATGTAAAATCCGAAAAACGCCAGTTAGTTGTACGCTTACCAGAATTCCAAAACTTTTACAAAATTTGGCCCATGAAACGGAATGAATTATTGATAATTTTGCCTTTTTCTGTGTATCACAACACATCAACATTTGCTGGTAATATGTCAAAATATAATATTTAAGTCAGTTGCTTTTCTTTTAGTTTTTATTTCAATAAAAATTGGTTTGACGTTTCGAGTTGTTTTCTTCATCTAATCACGTAATATTTTTGTCATAATCTACATCAATTTTAAGCATGGACATTGAGGAAAATATTTTAGAGGGTAGCCAAACTTCAAAAGTCGATCTGAACTTTTTTACATAAACTTTGCTGTCAGCAGACCAACGAT